CAAAACCAAAAATAGAGTGTTCCCAAGAGTGATATTCAGAAACATCTTTAAAAGATGCAATTCATAATGGCAGCAATACGAAGCAATACGAAAATGGTCCAGAAAATTGAACCACTTCTACTTACATTTGTCTACTTTGCCAGAAAGTATTAGAAATTGCTTTAAACGATGTGGTCTTTTTCCACTAGACCCGAGAAATTGGCCGTAGATTTTACAAAATGCGTTCAATATCGATTAGAAAACACAACATTGAGAGCTATCTATTCAATTACCATGGAGGATTTAAATACGACAAAGAAAGGTCTTTCTCATTTTAAAGAGAGACATTGAAACCAAAAAATAATATCGATGCAGATAAAATTAGTACTGTCTTAGATTATTTGTGAGAATCACAAATTCCTAGGACCTCAAATCTAGTGACAGTGGAAACATAGCTGGAAACACTGCTATACAGGCTGATGAAGCATTAGCAATAATATTCATAGGACTTAGTTACGAGGAAGAAGAGTTTAGGAATTATAAGTGTTCGCTCTGCTCCTAATTTTGTCATAAGAATTCAGTTAATTTCTTCAGTAGTGGTTAAGATTCCATTACTTTGTAAATTTTTTTAAGTTGATTTGTTATGTTTATAATTTTTGATTTAATAAATGAGCATATGTTCTTGTCAAGACCAAATAAAAAATTAAAACATGAATATTTAATTGATTTTTATAAATAAATTTACTGAAAAAATATTACGAGTTAAGTTTCGACCACTGGACTTATACTGGTCGACTCAAGGGAGGAAATGGTCGACTACTGCCACATTAGGTCCTTTTGAACCTTTTTTAGGATAATTTTAGTTTTATTTTGTCCTAGCATGAATCGGTTGTAGATTTCCAAAAGGAAATGTTCTACCTATCTTAATTTAAAAAGATGAGTTTATTGTGCCTTTAGGTCTATTTTTTATTGGGTTTTGAATTTGAAATATGTCTTAAGCGGTCGACCACTGGCGTGTTTACCCTACTCGTCAAATTTCTCACTAACTCGAAGTTTCCCAGAACTTTGTTTGGCGTACATTGAAAAGTAATGGTTTATACCCTTACCATTTGCAAAAGGTGCAAGGACTGACTACCGCTGATTATCCTTTGGGGCTGCAATTTTAGAGTAGCTAAATAATTGTTTTAGAGATTTTGTCATTTTGCATTTAAAACATTATTATTAGACGTTCCATAAATTAACATCTATTACTTCTTTTAACAAATTACGTATTATCTAAAATAACAAAACTCCTGAAATAATAAATTGTCTAGTTTTACAGCTCCTTCAAAAATGAGAATGGCGTTGAGTATTTTAACCCTAGGATACTTAACCAATAAAATCACTGTAGTAACTAAATGCTCGCCGGGCCTGAGAGGCCCGGTTTATGGATCCTAGGGTTAATTGTTGTTTACTGAATATCAGCGGTTCTCAAAAATGGACATTAAATTATTTAAAAAATTAACGTGCGATATCTATGTAACTATTAAGTTTTTAATAAAACATTATTAAGAAAATCTCTTCAGTTTTACCTCTAGTACCTACACTTTTAGTCTGCACGGTATGTTATAAATCACCCTGTATATCAATAATCTGTTTTATTTTTTTATAACAAAAACACGATTATTCTACTAGATTGTACTAGAACTACGAATTGTTATATAATTATCCTAAGCATCGTCTCACGTTAACAGAAAATAATCTTGAATATGCTGCAATAAAGTTGTATAATAAACTACCGTTAAATATAATCGATGCAAATACTATAAAAACGTTCAAAAAAATCTAAATAATTATTTATGTAAAATTGAACCATACTCGATATCAAAGTATCTGAATTACAGTTGAGTTATAAGAAATATAGCTTGAAGTTTTGTTATTTGGTCCTAAAGTATACGTCAGATTTTGTAACGGTTGGCGTTTTTGTAATAGTTTATACAGTAAAACCTCGTTTAGACGAACTCGGTTAACGCGAGCACCTCGTATCACGAACAAAGTACGGGTCTCAAGCAATTTGTTTCCAAATTGTATTACTTTTTGCTCGGTTAAGACAAATTTCCGTTTATACGAACTACGAACTAGATTTTATATCCCAACGTACAATTTCATTCGGATAATTCGAACTCGATCGAAAACAGTCGAACACTAAAGACGATCGATAGCGAATTCACGAACACGTTTAAACATGTTTTAGTCTTTTATAAATTGTTCAATAGAATAGTTCTTAAATCTTAACACAAAATGTCATCAAAGCAAAACAAAAAAAGAAAGAACGCAATTAATATTAAAACAATGAAAATAATTTTGGATGAAGTAGATAAATCTGAGTTAACTAAAACAGAAATAGCAAAAAAGTTCGAAATTCCTAAATCGACTCTTTCTACTATCATTAAGAAACGTAAACAAATTATTAGAGCCATTGCAAGCAGTTTATTTTCAACGAAATCGAAGCGAATAAGAACTGCAAAATGTGAAGACGTGGAATATGAATTATTGGAATGGTTTAATCATATGAGAGCTTCTAACATAGCGGTTTCAGAACCAATATTACGGGATAAAGCTAAGAAAATTTGAATGTTCTTCAGGATGGCTATGGCGTTTCCAACAACGTCACAACATGGTTGGTTTACAAATGTGCGGTGAGTCAGAAAAAGTAGACGAAAACTCCGTAAATTTGTGGTTATCAAATTTTATAACTGTTAAAAATTCATACGCCCCACGAGATGTGTTTAATATGGATGAAAGCGGAATTTTTTACAACTTAATGTCCGACCGTACCTTACATTTTAAAGTAGAACGTTGTCACGGAGGTGCAAAAAGTAAACATCGGGTGGCTGTGGTTTTATGCTGTAATTCGGATAGATCTGAAAAGTACAAGGCGTGGGTAATACTAAAATCGCGTAACCCACGATGCTTTAAAAATGTTGATAAATCACATTTACCGTGTGATTATACTCATTATGTGTCATCGTGGATAGATGCTCAAGCGTTTGGAGAATGGCTACTCAAACTAGATCAGAAGATGATTACCCAACATCGTCATATTCTTTTAACTTTAGACAACTGTGCTGCACATAAAACTGAAAACCTAAACTTATCTAATATCACGGTGTATTTCTTTCCGTCCAACACTACAAGTCCATTGCAGCCACTTCACCAGGGCATAATAGCTAATTTTAAGTCATTTTACAAGGCAGAACTAGTGAAATTTGCTATTTTTGCTATTGAAAACAATGGAAATGTTAAATGGGATTTGCTACAAGCTATTAAAGCAATAGGTTCGTCTTGGAATGCAGTTAATCAACAAACAATTAAACGTTGCTTTAAAAAAGCATGGCTGAACACTGATTTAACAGATGAAGAAAATTGAGATTTGTTACCACCAGCACCCAGAGAATGGACTGTTTTACAAGAGATACAGCCACTTGAAATTTCATTTGAAGATTTCGTTAATGCCAATACCGATTTGGCCATTTGTTCAGAGCCAGTCCTGAGAACTTTTGAAGATGGCGATAACGACATTCCTGTTTGTACAACTACATCCTTGTCATCTGTAGATAGTGATGAAGGTAATGATCATCTCCAGCCTACCAGAGAAGAAGTTAATGCCGCTTTACGAGTTTTAGCTAGATTCTCAGCAACTATGAATGTAAGTGGGCAATTTGAAAATTGTTTCAGAAACAAGTTCGAAATTCACTGAAGAAGGTTACAAAATGATATCCGAAACGTCAAAATCTTTTTCAAAGATGCACGACATAACCCAAAATTTTCTAGGGCTAGTGGTAGCGCTACTATTAGTTCTAGTTTCAGTTTAAGAAACAGGTATAATTCCTAAAACCAGTTTTTCAGATTCAAAAGTTCTCAAAATGCAGAAATCTAGAATTCAATATTTTTCGATACTTCCAATCAATTCTTGCATATTTAAAATCAAGAAATACTGGTTTTAAACAAATAGTTTTGGTTGAAACTGACCCAATGACATTGAAAGAAACGCTTACCAGATATTTAAATTTAACCTCGACCATTCAGGTAAAGTATCACATCCTGTTGATGAGTTTATCACAAAAATTAAAATTTTAAATCTTTGTTCGAAACATTTTATAAAACATTAATTAATATTTTTGCCATGTTCTTTTCTGTTCTTATACGGTCCCGGAAATACTAAAAGGATTTTCAATGATTAATGTATGCATTTCGAATGAATAAAAAGGATGCTATTTGTAATAAACAAAGCATTCAAGGTCATAAAATCTTTTCCATGGAAATTCGCGGAGAGAATAACCGCATATATATATAAAGGTTATACATAGATTTATCTTTGTGTTAGTAGTTAGTACGCAAATTAAACGGGAAACGCGGGAGAATAAAATTTCTTTATGTAGAATGACGTTTTTAATGTTACGTAACTTTATTTTCATGAATCAAAATTATCCTTCACCGAATTTTAAAATTAATCAATTTTTGTTATGATAATTTTTGATATATTCTAAGAAATACAGAGATGTTTTGAATACATTTCTTTAACACTTCAATTTATAATTCTTGGAATTATAATTTTAATTTTTCCGTGGCATTTACATTCTTATTACGCATTGTTTGGAATTTTATGATAGGTAGTCAATATGAATGGATGGAATTTAAATTTTATTCCTTAAAAAAAATTAAAATAAATCTTTTTTTTTTTGCAAAAACCACAGATATAAAGAATAAATAGAAAAAATGATGATAAAACCGCAATCACTGTAACAGATAACGATTGTATTTTGTATTTCCCCTAAATATGATTATTTCCTTAAGTTAAAAAAAAAATAAATTATTAATTATTTTCTTTTATTTACCTAATCGAGACTTTACGGTATAAAATAAATAAAATGTGGGACTTAACACAGAAGGAGAGAGCATATGGCGCGATCGTAACCAATCGAAAATTTTCGTTAGAAAGTAGCGAAACAACACTAAATAATTCTCTTAACATTTCTCACCTTGGCAAGTAAAATCAAAAGAATCACCGCCGCACACCAAACGTAACCAAACGGAAACTTAACAACGGACATATTTCATTATTTTTAGCACACAACAAAAAAAACTGACGGTCGAGTTTTCAAGCAACAGGTATTTCAAGACTTTTCGTGCTCCAACATGTTACAACACCCGCGAATCTTATCGGCTGTTGCAAGGAAAGAAGGGCGCGTTATTTAAAAAACCATTTCGTTTCGCGGTGATATTAATAAAAGGACTTTTGTTCTTCTTCGGCTTATCCGGGAAAAGCGAACGGAATTTGTACGTGATTTAAAAACGTAACGTCCAACAGCCGACGGCGCGTTACTGAGAGAATTGCTAGTAGAGAGCTAGTAGAACCGTTTGAACGGTTGGGTTTGGTGTTGGAAAAGAAGAGGTGGAAGTTGAGTTTTTGAACAGGTGAAAAGGCACGCGCCCACAGAAAGTAGATGGTCCAAAATACGTTAAATGTGGAAAGTTGGTTGTATATCCAAAGGATAAATATAGAAAACAGCATCGATTTTAATAATTTCCAAGTTTAGTTGGAGCTAAACGATCATAGATGGCGCAATATCTATTTCGCACTCGAATCTAATCCATATTTTGATTTTAAGAATAGCTTTGTTCGTTGGGACTGCACTACTTGCACTCACCTGCTCNATAGAAAACAGCATCGATTTTAATAATTTCCAAGTTTAGTTGGAGCTAAACGATCATAGATGGCGCAATATCTATTTCGCACTCGAATCTAATCCATATTTTGATTTTAAGAATAGCTTTGTTCGTTGGGACTGCACTACTTGCACTCACCTGCTCTAAGCAGTTTAGTGCAGATGTTGTGTGTTCGTTGGGGATAGTGCAGTTTAGTGCAGTTGCACTCATACTGTTCGTTGGGCCATGTGCAGTGCAATTTAGTGCAGTCGGTGCAAGTTAGTGCAGATTTTGTTGCACCTGCTTTTGATTAAGTTCAATAAGTGCAGTTTAATGCAGTGTAACTAAAATGGCGGAACATTTAAAAGCGTGTTTTGTAATAATTAATATCAATATTAAATATTAAGAAATAAAACCTTATAATAATTAATATTTGTTGTATTAGAGAACACAATATATTCAATCCCAGTAGAGGCAGTAGAAAACTACCCCTACTTTTTTGGAATAATTTAAAAACTACCCTGTCGATTTTGGCTTCATTAAATACACTTATAGTACATTTAAAAATATTAATTATGTGTTTTTTGTCATTTAGGGGTGGCTTTTTTTGGGAATATTTAGGAATATCTCGAAGTACCTCCAATTCCGAACACTAGATATAGAACTAGAAACATTCGGGTTTAACCGTCTTTAGAGACGTGCGGCTAAACCTGAATGATTCTAGTTCTAGTGTTAGTTCTATTTCAGTAAAAATACACAACAATTTAACGCTTAGTAACAATTAAAACTAGAACTACCACTAGATCTAGAACTAGAAAATTTCGGGATTAGTCTGAAGACGTACGACTAAACCCGAATTTTTCTAGCTCTAGGTCTAGTGTTAGTTCTAGTTTTAGTGCAATAAAAATATACAACATAGTGATATCTAGCAACATCATGTTTGGACTCATTTTAATGGTTCTTTTTAATAAAGAATACATCATAAAAGAATACCATGTAGTTGTCCATTTGTCTATTATATGATAACTAACTTCAGATTTAAAATGTTAACCTCAATTTTGACATATTTGTAATCTTCATTAAAAATCCTTTAAAATGAGCCCAAACATGATACGTTTAATTCCAATATTAGTCGAGATTTTGACAAATTCTTAATTTTTATAAAATGTGTTAAAATTTATCACAAAAATATAATAAAAAAAAATAAAAAATTAAGGTTGGTATTAACATTTAAAAATTAAATTGATTTCTTCATAGTTGCTAACTTCGGGTTTAACGTTTTTTATTCTAACTTTTTTTGAGATAATTGCTTCAAGTTTAGACTCACTTTAAAGGTTATTTTATGAAGATTACGAATATAATAATAAAATTAAAGTTGATATTGAGAACTGTAAGTTTTTTTCACGACTAAACTCAACTGTTTCTAGCTCTAGGTCTTGTGTTAGTTCTAGTGATAGTGTAAAACTAGAACTAACACTAGACCTAGAACTAGAAATATTCGGGTTTAGCCGTGTGTCTTCAGACTTTTTTAAGTTCTTGTCTAAGACGTCCGGCTAAACCTAAAACTTCCTAGTGCTAGGACTAGTGTTAGTTCTAGTTTTAATTGTTATTTAACCCTAAATTCTTGTACATTTTAATTGATCTAAAAATATTTTTTTTTGATTTAATCCACTTACCTTGCTTATAATTTCATCCATTTACCCATTTTGAATTAGATACAACCTTTAAATCCAATTAATGTGTTTTTCATTAAAAAAACTTAAACTCAACGTCATTTTGACAAGCAACTGCAATATTTGGATCTTAATCACCATGGTAACCGAGTCAAGTTGAATAACCTTAAAATAATAAAATTTTATTCCGATTTTTTTTTTCAATTCTAACCTAATTAAACATATCTTTTTTTTATTTAATCCACTTACCTTAGTTATAATATAATACCCTAGATAAACCAATTTTGAGTTAAGTACAGCCTTTTAAACCAATTAAATAAGACTTTTTCCTTAAAAAACTTAAATTCAATTTTGACAAGCACCTGCAATATTAGGATCTTAATCACCATTGATCACCATGGTCGAGTAAACTTGGATAACCTAACAATAATAAAATTATAACCGATGTTTCGCTTTATATTTTAATATTTTTTTAATTTTGTTTTATCTTTTCTTTTATATTTTCGTATATTGCTTCTTAAGTGAAATACACTGTGTAAATAAAAACATAGAAATGTCAATTCTTCCAATGACGTCACAGCAAGGCCTTTGCGGGGGGGGCTACGTTCATAACAACTGCGGTCATATGGAGTTGGATAACCTTATACAGTATGTTTACTCAACGGACCTTGGATTTAACAGTTAAATCATCTTAATTTATTATCTTCTACATGTCCCTGCTCTGTGTCGGTTCTTATGTGAATCACCCGGTATTAAAGATTAATATTACTCTCAGAAGAAATATGTAACGTTTTCTAGAACATTTTGGGGTATGGAGGTTGGTAATATTACTAATTTGGGGGATTTTTTAATTTCCTATTTTGTTTCTTAGCGACTACTTTGTCTTTATAAGTTAACTCTTCTTTCTACTTCTTCTTTTAAATGACATTTCTTTATCTCATCAACGATTTGTTTTCTTAGATCTAGCGGATGGCCGCTAGCAATTTTTTCAAATATTTGGCTTTGCCGAAATCAATTTACAAGTTATATTGTTACAAATGGACGAATTTACCGATGTAGCTGGACACGCAATATTCATTGTCATCGTTAGATACCAGCATGAAAACGCAATATCTTCTGTTATGCAGATCTCTACCAACACGTACTACTGGACTAGATATATTTAGTCTCCTAAATTCTTTTCTTGAAGGCAATGAAATACCATGGGACAACTGCATCGATATCTGTACAGATGGAGCAAAACCCATGAGTGGCACAATTAATGGGGCTGTACAGCTTATTAAAAATATCGCCAAAAACTGTTCTAGCAGTCACTGTATGCTACATAGGCAGGCACTTGCTGCAAAGAAATTATCCCCCAGTTATAAGAAGGCTCTCGATGAGGTGGTCAAAATCATTAATTTCATAAAATCTCGGCCTCTAAATAATCGTTTATTTAAAATACTATGTGAGGAAATGGGAAGTGTACATACATCTCTTCTGTTACATACTGAAGTCAGATGGTTGTCACGAGGAAGGATACTCACCCGTTTGTTTGAACTAAGATACGAAGTACGTACTTTTTTTAGAATATAATTTCGAATTGAAAGATCGATTGTTTGATAAAAATTGGCTGCTTCAAATTGCGTATTTAAGCGACATTTTTACAATGATCAATAATCTTCATTTAACACTTCAAGGCAAACAGGTAAATGTATTTACTGCTAACAACAAAATTTCAAGAAAAAGATAGAATTTTGGATAATTTGTGTGCGCTCTAATGTGCGCTTCCCAACTATAAAAGACTTTTTAGAAGAGGAAAAGATTGAAATAGGGCAGACATTTATTGAAGAAGTTTTTCAACATCTGAAAGGCTTGAGTGAAGCTTTTAATGAATATTTACCGAATGACAGGTAGATTAAATATCAACAAGAACTGTGGATAAAAAACCCATTTATAATCAATACACGACCTTCAACCATATCGTCAAAAGAATATGAAACTTTGATTGAAATGACATCTGCAAGACAAATTTAAATCAATGCCGTTAGTGCAATTTTGGTGCAGTTTGAAAGATGAATATCCTAAATTAGCCGGAATGAAACACGCAAAAGGGCGTGTTGGCACTTTTACCGTTTGCTACTACATATATTGTGAAATGGGATTCTCAGCCGACAAAAAATAAATATCGCAACAAACTTGACGGCGAACCTGACATGACAATTCAACTTTCATCTATAAAGCCTAATATTAAGTACACTGTGTTAATTAATTATCGTAAACCACGTGACCTGTGTAATTTTGGATGCATATCTTAATATCTAGTGGTAGCTTGGATACTTTTAAATTAGTAACCAGATGTTGACAGCTGATCGAACGTTATTGTTGTGATTGTCCACAA